CACGAACTCGTCGCAACATAACTGACCATCTTTATCCATATCAGAGAGATTCCTTTAAAAGTCAAAACAAATAAATATTGATTTATCATAAAAGATTTAGAAGTTATACCAATTCTTCAATTTACCATATTTGGGCAAGAACGTTTTGTGGTAGTTGAGTAGCCACCATGATACCACGTGCTTGAACTCCAGTTAAAAATCCTGTCCTTGTGCGATCAGTAGTATTAAAAATCTGCGTATACTTTAATTTAGTTTGATGTGGTACTGCCCATTCCTGATTTCCTCTATAATAAATACAAATTTAACACAAACAATCTTAATAAAAACTTTAATAATAACTTTATAATCATAAATAATATTTCAAACATCATGAATTAGATATGATTAAAAATTATTTAAGAGAAATATTAAAATATTGTGAATAATACAGAAATCTTTATATGTTATATTAACAAAGTTCTGTTTATTAAAATTTACCTATCAAGCTTAAAATTTTAAATCTTTAAAATTAAATATTATATTTTTTTAACTTACGGAGAATCTATTGATATGGGCATTGGCATTGAAGCAACTGGAGTACCAGGAACTAAATAAGTAAAATAATAAAAATTAATATAATGGAAAACAGAATAATTTTCTCAACTTACGAGATGGTGCAGCAGGTAGTGCAGGTTTAATAGGACCTGCTTGACCAACTAATGCCATATTATTTGTTAAATTTGCAATCTGAACTGGAGAAGACCTATTTACAACTGGACTAATTGTACGATTTATGGTGCCAATGGGAGAAGAAGCTGCTGGTATTAATGGCGGTGTTACAGCTGGTAAAATTGGTGTTGGAGATACATTTGATAATGGCAATGTCATAGGTGGCGCAATTCCAGGAGTCATTGTTGGAGGACTTGTAAGAAGTGGAGATGAAGCTTTCGGAACTGAATCTAAAAAATATATGTTCTAAAATTAGTTTAATTCAATTCAGCATAGTGAAGGTATTTTTTAAATTACTTAGAGACTGAACAGAGTTCCATAAATTACTAGGGATGACTTTAGGTAGCTCTAAACCTCTAAGTTTAAGGCTAATTAACTTGCAAGCAATAGTAAATTCAATAATATTCATACGACCATCTGCGTCAGTATCAGCTAAACCCCTAAAAATTAGTTAATATTAGTATATTAACAATGTAAATAAAATGAACAATATATACCTAAACACATAGGAAAAAATATTTTTATAATTTTACCATATTGCACCAAGTACTGGTGGAGGAAGTCTAGATTGTAAAAGAAATCCCTTGGCCTGTTCACCTGTAATGACACCACCTACTGGTTTCAATGCTTGAAAATGTGTGCAAAAACGTGTCCATTCTTGAGGAGTCACCACCCACGGATCCATATCGCCAAGTTTATTAATTTAACCTAAAAATTATAGATGCTTAATAATTATATATTGCTAATTTTCTTGTTATTTATATTTAAAACATTGGTAGGTATATGTAAAAAAAATATCATAAACTTTGGAAAATTTAATTTTTGGAAGTACCTACTTAAATAAATTCAATGAACTTTAATATCACACACTGATAACTTTTAAGTCATATTTTACTATATTTGTATTGAAAAATAATGGAATCAATTTTTTTAGATTTTTAACATATTCTACTAATAAACTTACTGAGGTCTGTAACCTAAATGTAATTAATTTTATAACTCATGGCTGTACTGATTGATTAAAAGAAATTAATTAAGTAAAATTCATATTTTATACCAAGGAAAAATTAAAAACTGATGTTATATATTATTATTTATTATCATTATAGTCAAAACAATTTTAATAAACAAGGGTAGTAGGTAACTATTATATAAATTATAATTTATTACATTTTAGAGAATTTGTTTAAATTTAACAAAATAGGTATATACCTATCGTGGAATTATTATGTAAATAATCTCGTCTTGGAAATTTAAAAAATATGGGAGGCTAGTTATACATACAACTATTAGTTAGGTACTAAGAATAATGAATTGTGTCCCCAGCACCAACAATATACAATTTAGGATTAACAATGAGATTTATTTGGAGAGTAGCTAATAATAATTAATATTACACATCAATCTTCTATTCTGAAAGCTAGCAACACAGCCTTACATTCATCTTGTACTAAATATATATATTTATTGCACAACTGTAGGTATAGATCGAGTATTTACTTTTGACAAAACAAAGTCGTTATACCAAGCATTAGAGAATTGTATAAGTGATTGAATTTGTAAATAACTAGTAGAAACAAAAAAGTTAGGTTGTGTAGGCTAATTCATAGTTCAACAAAATTACTGATCCATATATTTAATTTTGTATATTTTAAATGCTTGAATTGGGAAAAAATTAGAAGGGGGATGCAAAAGTGTAAAAAATATGTGAGTACCTGAATATTGAAATATCTTATTGATTTAGATATAATCAGAAGGAGTACGCATAAATATTTTCTAAAAAGAAAGGGGACTCCGACCCCCCGGCGTCCCTCCTTAATACAAGTACTGATAGTAGGCAGAATAATTTAAATTACTTGTTAAAAATTCTATAACATTCTCAAGTTATCTTAGGAGGAAGTGGGTCAAAAAATACAATTTAATTTATCTAAAAATTATTTTGCCCTATCACATAAAACAGAAGATATCTTATACAGTATACACTATCTTTATGACTGATCGGTCTCTTATTTTAATATAATAAGCTGTCAGGCAACGGACCGAGTGCAATGAAGACTAAAAATTATTTTAATCTGTTTTTATATCAAATACCTAAATGAATATCTCAAAACCAGTAGCAGTTCAAAGTCTATCATGCAATGAAATCATCAGTTGATTATTATGATATAGGTATAATATATTAACTTTGTTGATTTTAAAATAGTAAAAATGAACACATTTGAAACCACCTGAAATAAATTTAATTTAAGTAGTAGACAATAATTTGTTCTGTGTTAATTTTTAGTCATACTTAGGTAATATTAATCAATTAGACGAGTGGAGAATGTTAGATTAATAAAACCTACGTATGACACTTCATGACCCAGAAACATGAGTAGATAATGGCTTCGATCAATAGGTATTCAGAAATAACAATTATAATAGTAGACACTATAGGTTGTTGGCGAGGGCCCGGCCTAATATTATTATATATTATAAAATATATTAGACAGGTGCGCAGATAACAATGGTATTCATCAATGGTTGTAAAAATGTTTGAAAAATTAAAAAATAAAAAACAATTTCACATGATACGTTCATACGTATGTAAAATATAATATATATTATTATGAGATATTGTAACGCACGGTGATGAATGGAAAACCAACGACAACGAATCAAACGATATGGCTTTTCTGCGGCGCCCACCCGATGATGAGAACAATATTATTGCGTTTATCATACACATACGACAATAATGGTATAATATTATATTGTTAATGTGTGGCGATTCGGAGTAGCAGTGGCAGCGGCAGCATCATCAGTAAATGACGAATGGCAATTATTATTAACGATTAATATTTTTTACAATAATTATTATTACTATGAACAGTGTCGTAGGTATTATGCGTGTCGGGCGACACGACGGACGAGAGCCAACGCGGCGGCTGGTGTGACCGTGAAACGAACGCGACACACACAATACTACGAATTGAGCAATCTTACCGGCGCGCACAGCTTTGACGGCGAGCCCACACTCCGTCGGCGTACAATAATTGTTTGATGGGCGTGCGTGTTGCGTTTGACACGACGAGAACGGTAGGAAAACGAAATATTTGAACCGAGAAATTCAGGCCCGGAGTGCGCGAAACGTAATCGCCAGCTTATTCGCCGCGTTATTTATCATTTGACATTTAATATGTTATATTATTTTTTTCCCCGATTCTCGACAGCCCGCCCACAAGCAGCAAATCTCACTTATCTATTACAACAAATAACAGTAACACACACACACACATAAATATTATAATAACAGACGACAGACGTTTTTGTTGGTTTTTTTTTTTTATCACTGCGCGCTAGTGGTGCCCAAACGCGCGCGCGGTTGCGCGAAGGATAAAAACGATATTGTAACAGTATTAAAAAATAATTTGTTTTCACTTTTTGTCGTCCGTCGATTTGTAATAATTGTCGCTGAACCGTTAACTGTTATACAATTAAACAATTTGGTTCAGTGGTAACAGCCTGCACTAACTGCTGCTAATCGTTTTCAATTGATGTTCAACGCCCCGATGTTAGAAGCCTTGATTTTCATAATAACCTAGTAACTGACGCCGAAAAGGTTTCATTTTTATTTTTTATCGACCCGAGGAAGTCGAGTGGACAAAACTTCCTGAACGGATATTATGACAATACCCATACGTGCCTACTACAACCATGATATCATGACTAGTTATATCCAGGGCGTAATTAAGGAGGATAGATTCCCTCTCCCCCAGAGCCTTTAATACTTTTAATATAATATATACAATACCACCACCAATTTCAACTTTTGACTTGGGGGGGCTGAATATATTTAGCACCCCCAACCCCCCCCCCCCCAATTTGCGCCTATGAATACCACTCACCACTGTACTTGAAAATTTAGTGTTTTGTGTGTAAAATAATATCTATCCCCCGGGCGGGACAAATTCCTAATTATGCCACTGGTTATAATATTATATCATCATGACTACAACTTTATTATATAGTAGACTCTTCAATCAAACCGAAAAACGGAATATTTTCATGTGAATTTCACAAAAAAATATATTGAATTAAATATAATATTTAATAATAAATCTCGACGTCCGTCCGAATGATCACCGATATATTATGATTTACAAATAATAATTTTGAATCACAATGATCACGACTGTGCTCATCCAGTCATCCACACGGGTCGTGGGAGCGCGGCACGTGGATCGAGTGGATTGACCAGACATAATAATATTGTAATAATGACATATTTGATATTATAATTAAAAAAGTCTATGGACCAGTCGGGAGTGGCGGGATCGGGACGGAGATATTCTGCTCGCCGGATATTTTGGTCCTCACTTGATTGTCAGCTGTTTTGCGTATTGAACACTTGGCCTCCTTATCTTATTATTCGCTCGCACCACGACCACCGCCAACAGCTGCAGCAGGCTCGTATTCGACGTGCGACGATATTGTTAATATTTCTGGCCGAGAGGATCGAGGAAAAAGATTGTGTGCAATTCGGAGAGGAAAATTTCGGACCTAACCTAACCCTCGGTCGCTCTACATTATATGCACAAGTGCACAACACGACATTTATTATTCAACTATTGATATTTATCGTCGATCGATGGTCGGAAAAGTCGCGTGTGTCGCAATTAAATAAAACTACTGTCGTCTGGTCGAAATACAATTTTCAATGCCACCACTTCAACTACTGGCACAGTTGTACTGCGCTTAGGTACGTACAATTTATACGGCGTTTGCGAATTGTAATTTGTTTGTGAACGGATTCGTCCCAAACTGTTCTCTGCGATAGGTATTCGAATGCTCGATAACCGTGTCGCCTAACTCTATCCAGTCGGTCAACATGAAAAAGCTCTTTTCGAAAATCGACAACTCCAACAAAGATCCCAACTGCTTTGTTGGTAAACAGTTCACCGTTGGCCGTACCTCTGTAACCGTTGAAGATGTGATCGCCGAAGGTAAACTCGCAATACCTACCAATAAATTAATAAATAATAATAGTAAACAATAGTACCTACACAATATTATGTTACATAATATATTTGTTGTCATTATCATATCAAAAAGTTACATTTTCCAGGAGGTTTTGCTGTGGTTTTTCTTGTAAAAAGCAACAACAAAAAATATGCCGTTAAGCGCCTGTTTGTCAACGATGAAGTGGACTTGGGTGTCGCTAAAAAGGAGATACAAATAGCCGTATGTTAATGCATTGATTGATAATTATTCAGTATTTATCAATACTAATTAACTTCAAAACATTGCTGGATGATTGTTGATTACTGATCTGTAGCTGATAAATGTATGTATATTGTATGCACTCATATATTTTCTCAACTTTCAGAGTAGCTTAAATGGGCATAAAAATATTGTCGGCTTTATTGATTCAAATATTACACGCCATAATAATGGAGTTCATGAAGTATTGATGTTGATGCCTTATTGTCCGTCTAACGTTTTAACTCTAATGAACAACAGGTAATGTTTCATACTTAATTAAAAATTATGTACTAGTTTTTAAATATTCATATGTACAGCAATGAAATATCAATATGACAATTAGTATAACATTTGGAAGAAGGGGTTTTGATTTATTAAAAAATTACCCTAACTTGAATTTACAATACAAATTAAGCAATCGCATACAACATAAGAATAATAAAAAAGTCTTTATTAATTTTGGGTCAGTTACAAATTCCCTCAATCACCAATCAGTGGTTGCATCACTGATAAATTAAAATATATAGATATAAGTATAGTCATTCCCGAATCCCTATATCGAAATTCATCTTAATTAATAATCCCCTTACATTTTACTTCTCTTAATTAATTTTATCATAAAATTAATGCTGACTTTTCGATTTAATTTTTTTTTCCAACTTCAATAACTACTGTGTTATATTCTGTATTCTGTATATGATAAATTATCAAATAATATTATCTACCAATTTGCTGTAAAATTTTTTTTAAAAATACTATTTCTATTTTTGTATGTATTATAATTTATTTATTATTACAACTGATGTTTATACAATTAAACACATAATTAATATTTCATGGTTCTGCCAAATTATGTATGAAATGTTGAAGTGCATATTTTGAGCATAACTTTGCATATTTTATCCAAATTATCTCAACACATTTTATTTTTCATCAATAGTTCCAATTTTTTTTACTTTCTTAATACTATTATTATGGACTATGATGCAGTGAATGAAACTGGAATCAAAATATTTTCTAGTTTAATTAATTGAAATAATCCAGTAAGACATTGTTTTTAAGTCGTTCAATAATAATATAAGGCTGTATATTATAATATATATTCTTCGAATTGGTTTATCAATATAATTATTTATTATGAATTATTTTTATCAACATCTTTTTTTTGACATTTTAGTTTACCTAACAATTTATTTTCCTCGATTTTTCTATGAGAGGTATGTAATACTTACCACATTGTAGCTAACGATTTTCTGATTCTAATGTTCTTTTTAGAACAAAATGTTTAAATTAATTTAGAACTGACCTTCATTAAATGTTTTAAAATAAACAAATTTCCAGTTGCCTAAGATGAAACAATCAAATACTAATTGTTTTCTGTATAATTTAATTTGATAGAAATATTTATGTTTAACCTAAACATAATCTATCTGAATTGTTAATTAAAACCAATATTGATTTATCAATAAAATGTTCAATTCATAATTCTAGTTTATTAGCCTTGAATCATAGTATATATATATCTACCATTTTGTCACTAGTTTACTTGTCAATTGAGTACTTGTAGATGTTTTTTTCTCATAAATTAAGAAACCCGATTCTAAACAATTTACTTTTTATGAACTCTAAATAATATGTATTTTGTGATCAATACTGGTTAGTTTTATGATTCATTGATATGACTCATAAAATTATGTATACATTATGGATTGTCAACATGTGTCAAAAGGCAAAAACTCGGTTAATTATAGGTACCTACTACATAGTTCTTATATATTTATGAAAAAATATAGATATTTTGATTAGGTTTGATGTCTTTATTTTATCAATAAATAACAACATTGTAATAAATACATTTTAATTTAATTTACAAAATATATGTTATTTAATATTTATATTGTATTTTAGGCTGCAATCTGGCCTAACAGAACCTGAAGTTCTTCAAATATTTTGTGATACTTGTGAAGCAGTTAGCCGTTTACACCATTCTCAAACGCCTATAATACACAGAGATTTAAAAATAGAAAACATCTTAGTTAGTGAAACTGGTCAATATTTACTGTGTGATTTTGGTTCAGCCACAGCACGTGAACTTGATCCAAATATACAAGGAGTGCATGCTATAGAAGAAGAAATTAACAAGTATACCACTATATCTTATAGATCACCTGAAATGATTGACTTGTACAACAATAAAGTAATAACCACAAAATCAGATATTTGGGCTTTGGGTTGTCTATTGTATAAGTTATGCTATTTTACATTACCATTTGGTGAAAGTCCATTAAAAATACAAAGTGGTCAGTTCAGTATTCCAGATGCACCAGAATATTCTATTAAATTAAATACATTAATTAGTAAGTTTATATCTATTAACAATATTATTCATGTTTTACTCAATATAAAATCTAGATTGTTTAAATAATATGAAACATAATTTACAGAATATATGTTGGAGGTTGAACCTGATTTACGTCCAGACATTTTCCAGGTTTCTTACATTGCATTCCAATTAGCTGGAAAAGATTGTCCAGTTCAAAATTTAAATGTATTATTAATTACATATTAACAATAATTTTTTTTTTTTGTGATAGACATTGTTACTATTTATTTTCTAACTGTTGTTTCAGAATGTTCCCAATCCAAATATCAATGAATTAATTGTATCTCTAAATGAAAAACGAGTTCCTCAAACACCAAAAACGCATGTCAAACCAAATTACCATTCATCTGCTGTTGTAGAAGGCACTAGTGTGAATCCGAGGCAAAGACCAAAACCTTTAAGTTCGGGAATACCTCCACCTTTAGGTTCATCTCCTACATTCAAAAGAGCATTTCAACCAGTTGTTGGAATTTTGACAAATTCTCATTCTCCAGATACATCTCATCAAAATAAAATACCGCAACAAATATCTCCACGTGAAAAGGCTCCCCAGGTGTTATTTCCAGTCAAAGGTAGATAATAAACGTTACTAAAACATTTATGAGATGAACTTTAAACTTATAAGTAATATATGTTTATAACATAAAGACTATGCAGATCCATTTGTTGAAACTACATTCACTCAATCTACAACAGTGTCACCTTCATCATCCCCATTAATTTCTATGCCCAAACATAAACGAAATGTTAGTGAAACTTCTACATTCTCCAAGTATGCATTACCTATTTTTTTCATCCATTTAACTAATTGCATTGTTTATTGATTTTAACATTTTTATTTTGTTAATTATTGAATTTCCATTTATTAAGAAAGATATTTTATTTTAGAATATTTGTTAATGATAATTCAAATCAATTCATGACATCTTACGGAGATTCTACTAAAATATGTTCTGTACCTACAAACGATTCTACCGGGTTTTCAGTTTCTAATGTGCGTATTTAAATATTAATGTACTTTATGATCATTATAGTTTTCTTTTAATTAAATTAATAATCATTATACTTTATTAATATATTATATTTTATAATTTATAGGTAGAAGTTACTAATTTGAATGCAAATACATCATGGAATCCATTTGAAGAACCAACACCTTTTAACTATCAAATTACTGGTGAAGAAATGTTCAACTCATCATTTAGTCAAATCCCTTCAAATGACAATGGTAATAAGTTATTTGAATAGATTTGATATAAATTATATTTATTAATATTTTATTAAAATCTGTACCATTAGTACACTATTTTATTTTAGTTAAACATTCAATTTTTAGATGAAGTTAATGGAAAATCTCAAGAAAGTACTACAAAAACACTGAAATCCAATGTAACCGACGAAGATCCATTTGGTTCTGCACCATTTCCTTACAAAAGTTAGTAAAATTGTATAGGTTTCCTAACTAACTATAAAATAAAAAATATTAAATTAGTTTAAATTATTATAAAATATGAGTTTGTTTTATGTTTTAGGTATAGATGAATCTATAGGAAATAGCCCAATTAGAAAAATGTCACTTAATGGTAAGTGAAAAATTGTTTTTTTATTTTTTATCAAATCTTACTGCAACTTTTAACAAAATACTATTATGGAGGTTTCCTTAACAGCATAGTGATAGTTTTAAAGTGAATAATAAAATTAAAAATAGAAATTTTCATGTATACAAATTCATATTTTTCAATTTTAAAATATTCTTCTCAGAATCTACGGTTTTTCATAAATATTGAGCTTGTAATTCAATAAAATAATAATTTATTAAATTTTCTTCTCACTATGCTTTTATACTAAATTATGATTAGTAGCTTATAGTTAATAGTTAATACTAATAAATAGTTTAATAGACTTGGTTTGACAGACATTGTTCAATGAGATAACTATTTCTTATTTAAACGTTAAGTAGTATGATTTATTTTATTTTTATTAGATAATGAAATAATTTATTAATACATGTTATAATATATTATATTTTAGGAACAGATTTTATCTTTTTTAAATACAAGCTTTTATGCGACTATTTTCTAAAATAATTATTTCAATAAATAATGAAAGAGAACACTTATACTTTTCATAATAGTATGTAAAATGTGAAGTAATATAGTATCAACATTTTCTATTTATTAGTATAATATTATACTTATAATATTTTATTATCTTCATAATTTCTTTACCCTAAGTATATTATATTAAATAGAAAATAATCATTCTTTTATTCAACTAGTAAATTGTATTATAAACTCTAAAGTATATTTATAAAGAGATATTATTGCAAATTGTTGGAAACCTCCTTATTAGATTTCTTCGTTTTTACTAACAATATTATAATTATTTTTTTGTAAAATTTCTTATCAGCATGAATGTTCTCAAATTTATTTTTTCTAATTTAATAATGTTAAGATAATAATTTAAAACAACTTGTAACTAATGTAAATTATTTCCTATCTTAAAAAATTTAATACTTATTAGTTGTTTGGCAATTTAACTACGCTTGTGCTATTTAACAACCATTAAAACAAAACTCTTATCTGGTAATATGGTGCTTGTTGGTTGGTTCTTTGTAGGTTTGCGACATGATGGGAATCAGGATTGATACACATTTAACAATGTCTCACCATAAATTGTGCATATCATAGATACGAGTAACGGTGATAATATATGCATGAATTATTTACCTTCTACGACAACTACTGTTCTACTTAGTTAAATTTTATATTTCTTATAGTAGTAATTAACTTATAATCTTATATACCTTATAAAATTGCATGTTAAATGTTGGATATCTTATTATTTAAAATATATTACATTGTTAATTCAAATTTTTTAGTGTTTTTTGTCTATCATCTCTTAATTTTTTAGGCACTGACCTTAAAAAAAATGCTGAAAAATGGAAAACCTACTTCATTGAACACAATTTGAAATTAGACAGATTAATATTAAATAATGAACCTGACAGTGACGAGATTGCTACTGGTTTAGTAGCAACCACACGTAGTGATGATGAATTGGAATCAAATGAATGTTCATCAACCCCTTTTGTGAAAATTCCACTTGAAGATCGCTCAAAGTATGAAAAATTAGCTTGCAATACTGATGAAGTTTCTTCAGACGATAGTCAAGTGGCGAGCGGTGAAACTAGGAAAAAATCTTCAAAACGAAGAAAAATTCCCGAATTTAAATCAAATAGTCGTTTCCGAAAGGACAAAAAAATAAAAAACATCAGAATGACTATGACCAATCCGATGATGATTCTATTGGATCAGCAAGTGATCTCCAAACTCGTAATGATGAGGAAGACACAAACAAAAACATTCCTGAAACTATGACAGTAAAAGACAGTATGATTACATGTGGATCATCAGCTTACCATGCTGAATGTGAAAGCATGGCACGAGACGATATTCCTCCACCAAATGCTCAAGGAGCAACACGACTTCGTGACCCCGTACCTGTTAAAAATGTTGATGCTGAAATACCATTGATTTCAGATAATGAAGGAGAAGAGTATGAAAGTTTAGGTAACACTGATGTGTTTGCAATGGCACCATTTCCTAAGGCAAAAAAAAAGTGTTCAGACAGCGACTCAGATCTATTCGGTTCTGTACCTTTCAAGTTGAACACAAATCCATTTGAACAAGCAGATTTTGCCGATAGTGTCTATTTTGAAAAAGAAGATTCAACAGAAATACCTTTCAGATCTGAACCTAAAGAAGCTATTTTAGTGGATTTAAATCCACAAGAGCCAATTTACATGAAAATAATTCACCAAAATGTTACACAGGTAGCAACTAATAAAGTGATAACTACATTAGCTACAAATAGTGGATTCAGTAATATGAGTTTTGAAGATTACTCTAGTAGTGATGCCGAAGAGTCACAAGCTCCAGTTTATTCACCCTTTGAAGTAGTTCGACCTGCTGAATGTGACATAAAAAGATCTTCTTTAAAAAGTCGTAGTAATCCATTTACATAACAAATATAATAGAAAAAACATCTTATAGATCTTATATATTATATATCTAAGGTCTATAGTTTAGTTAACACTAGTTTTCTTGGTTCACAAAGAATACAATCATGTATTAAAAAACACAATTATTTTAGCATAGCTATAAAACTGTTACTAAAAGTACAACATAATGAAATCTCTCCTGTTTTAAAAACATTTCTACTGTGATTTTAGTTATGTTTAAGTGTGATATTTATAGCACTTAAGACAAGTATTATTAAGTCTAGTGTATTGGCAATTGATGGTCTTATATTTATATTGTTACATATTATTATTGTTTTATTATTATTATTATTTTTTCAATTGTTTCAAAACTACCTATTGTTGTTTTATTTATCTAGTTTCTTAATAGTCATTATTTTAAATATTTAAACCAATTTAATTTTATAGTTAAATACTACCTATAAAGTATCCTATATTGTATGTATACTAAAAACTGTAGCAGCTGAAACATATGTTACAATAATTATTATATTCATAAGTATACTTAATGAATACAGTATTATATTAATATTTTAGGCAACTTTTTAATGAAAGATGAAAATTGTTATTTGATGGTTTTAATTTGTATGAAATCACTATTAAAATGGAATCTATTTATTTAACAAAAAAAAAAAACAATGTTTTCTTTTCCTTACCTTTATGCCGTTCAATGTGATGTGTTCAAACATGTATAAATTGTAAGTATCAGATTATTTTAATTGTATTGGTTAAAAAATTGAATTATTGCTGATACCAATAATCAGCAATATTGGTTATTTGAATAGATGAAATGAATATATATGCATATACATAACCATGATTAAATATATACAGGCAGTAATATAAAAAAAAGCAAGTAAGTGGCTTTCACTGCTGTACAGTAGGTTACAAGTGGATCACTGTAATGGATGATATATTACATTTGTATTCAATGATAAAATATCAATGTATAAGAAAAAGTAAAAACAAATCTTAGTGGAGACTCAGTTTGTCAGTCATATTTTATATTATGTTTATATTACTATTACTTATTATTAATAGAGTTGTCGGTAAGTTGAATTCATATTATTAAAATATATTCAGGATGTTCTTATAATGTATTCAGATTTCATGTTTTATTAATTTTTAATTAATCTAACATAGTTTCTTCAAACACATTATACAAGTTGTACGATTTCTTTTTTATTATTTAAACATGTAAGTATATTTTACTTTTTTTTTTTTTTTTAACGGTAGTTTTCAATCCATTTACGGTGAAATATTTTTAATTTATTTAAAATTGTTTACAAAAGAGTTATCACCAGGTTTTTATTTGTTTATTATTTTTCTAAAATACAAAACATACTTAATACATAATAATAAAACGTATTTAATGGTTATAAATTTATAATATTTAATTTAATTTGGGGCACTTACCTCAAAGTAACTGTTAGTTTTTCCGCAGTTGTAATGCATTTCCTAAAATTAGACTGTATTTCTAAAATATTATAAAAACTACTTGGAGACATTTGCATGTAATAGAAAAATTTAATCTGTTGAGCCAAAAGCTTTGGGTAAAGTGTATGATATTCTCCAAATTTTTTCCTCCCTTATAAAATATTAACCCAAAGTTATTTTTCATTTAATTTAGTCAATAACAAATACCTAGGTACTTGATATCTGGATTGGTATTTAATATATACATTTCATCAGTGACGTCCATAGTGTTGAACTGTAACTGTAAATAATGTTGATTACTGCATAATTCTGGTGGGTTTCAACCGAAATCCTGTTGTAGTTATCGGTCGAATTTTTTCCCGATAATTCGGCAGACGTCGCTCTAAAAATATTATGTCCATGTCGGGTCTAGTCTGATCGTTGACTAAGGCCTATCAAATATTTTGGATTGATACATATGTTAGTCACATTGATGTATTAATTGTAACTACTAACCACATAGTGATTTCGAATAATACATTTTAATATAAACCAACTGACAACTGTTGTACCTACCTGTATGGCAGTGTATGCCCTATATTTTAAACACATTTAATTAGGTAGGTACCTATATCATATTATTACTATTTAATATGTATTATGTTTGGTCATTATAGAGTAGGTACCTAGGTGGTAAGTTAATAACATTTTACAATCGATTTATAATTGTATTGTATATTAACACAGTTAACATGACATTTTTTTTGTTTATATTTTATTTACTGAAATAATTCTGAATCGTTACAATACTGTACAATAAAAACATCCTTACGAAATGTTAGAATAGATATTTGGAAATTGTATTTATATTTTGTTAACTGTAGTAATTGTTACTTTTAATGTTGAAATACCTACATTACTACACTGTACTAAAAATTTACTGATTTTTAAGTTGTTCGAAAAATGAATCTCATAGCATCGTATTTAAATTTTAAACTGTGTTACTATTTACATAATGATAATAATATGAAATTCAAAGTAGGTAGGTAATTATGGTTTACTACACTCAGTGCACGTCGTAAGTTTTGCACGCATGTACTTTATATTGCCTATACTGAAGCCTTCATATATATTCATCACTTCCTATCTTCTCAATCATAAATTTTACATTTTAAGATGAATTTTAATATATAGGTAATCGTACGTACTCAACGCCAGGCTTTCCGATCTTTTATTGGCCCTGGAATCGAATATAATAAGTCTGTTAACTCTTGCCATTGTTTCCCGGCAACATGTTGAGTAAAAGTCGCAGTGACTGAATGTTTTCCTTTCGATAAATCAAAATGGTTGTTTAAAAAATCAAACATTGCCTTTTCTTGGTCATTCGTTACGCGGAATGACTGTTTTTTCTTTTTACGCACGACATTTTGTTTAATAATAGAAAACGAGCAAAAAATAATAGAGCTATACCAATATGTGTGAAAACAAATAATAAAATTTCCTGCCGGTAAAATTGGTAATAGCCTTCGCGATATTTTCATACAATATAATATTTTATTTTCTATACGATGAAAGACATATTTTGCGACGTTGCCGTTGCGTACCGTTAGGATATAATTCTCAAACGAACGATGTGGGGAACGCTGCAGATTCAAATGATATCAGTATTTATTTATTATTTATTTTAATTGGGCTAATAACCTACCTAGTCTAATTAGGTACTCAACTATAGTTTATATTTCACCTTAATAATGACGTGATTCACAATATTACTTACCCGAAACTGACCATGTCCCAAAACTTGTTAAAATACGTAAAAAAAAAAAAATTGTTATAGGCGCTGCGCGTGGCAGTCAAGTAGCGTTGCGCGCATGCGCATAAACGTAAAATCGTAAACTTTGGAAGGCTATAACTTCTAAAATAATAGTTTCCGGGAAAAAAAAATTACACCATCGTTTTGAGCATAAAAAAACGAGTCTTTTGGAAACAAAATATTTTGAAAATCGAGAGGGGGTTGGTAAAAGTAGCCCAAATGAAACAGTGGCGTCATTTGAGGAGGGCAACTGGGGCATTTGCCCCAGTCTAGTATTTACATTAACCTTAAGTTGGCACATTTACCACACGCCCCCCCCCCTGTTTACTTCTATAGCAATATGCTATGAGAATCTGCAGAGTGAAAAAAATGTTGAGTCTGAAAAGCAGTGAACAATTGCCCTAGTCTAATAAAAACTGAAATGACGCCACTGAAATGAAAATGATTTGACAATAAAATTTTTGTTCGCATCTATACGGAAACATATATCATGTGAATCGTTCGTACACGGATCTCATTCGTTTGATCATATAAGCATAGCCCACCAGCTAGGACAAATTCGACGACTATGGAGAAACCGGTGACGACGATGACGTAAACTCGATCGTGCAAAGGCGAAATCTCTAGGCGGCGTCGATGGGCCCGTTTTCGTCGCACGGACAGCCGAGGAGGAAAAGGAGGTCGAACGTGTTAGTCGGATTGTCTCAAAGGAGGAGAATTCTCGCGAAGGAGTGCGGTGAATCCAGCGCCAACGAAAATAATACCTTGTCCGTCGCGTTACTAGCGAACGACTATTTATTATCTGAATGTCGCGGCACTTTCGCATTCCCGGAAATAACGGTGCCGTTCGCGTAACGAAACACTCGAGTCCTGACGCAGTTATTCTATTAAAGATGTGTTTGTCATGCCTGCGCCGAAAGTTTAGTTTTCGGTGACGACGGTTGAAGCGTTGGAAAGCAACCTTTTTCCGTCCAGCAGTGCCCACCATACAGTGCCGGGCGGTAAAGTGGAAATCCCCAAAAGTGCATATCCCCCGCACAACCAGTCACTGAAATCTATACCACGGTCCTTACAAGACATAAACTTGTGGTTACATACATTGTAATATTGTATTCATATTATAAATTTATAACCTCCGTGCATGCGACCCGCTTAAAATAAATAAAACCAAATCGTTTCTTTCATGATATATTTTTTTCCCAAAATAGGTGTTGCATGGATTCCTGCATCACCTTTGCCATGATCGATGAAAGCAGAGGCGTGACAAAAAAAAGTATGTGTGGCTCGTGCAGGAAGGCAATTCAGTCTAGGGCAAAATAGCTCACTTCCCGCCCTTGCCACTTAATATACTATTTCCGACGCATTGACTACGGCGAATAATAATTTTAACAGAATAAAAAAAATTACATGTTTATTTTATTTTTACATCGAAATGAAAAAAAAGTCCGGCCAAGTGCGAGTCGGACTCGACCACGAAGGATTCCGTACCATCATCAGCTATAAACATGTTGGCAATACTGCTTATATTATATATTCTAGGATTTTTAGTGTTTGTTGTTGTAGCGGCAACAGAAATACATAAGCTGTGAAAATTTCAACTTTCTAACTTTCATGGTTCATGAGATACAGGCATACAGCCTGGTGACAGACGGACGGACGGACTTAGTAATAGGGACCCGTGGAACCCTAAAAAGGTGTATATTTGTTTCAAGAACATTGTATATTGATGCAGGTATGATATTAATATATTATAATG